GGCTTTTTTAGCCGGTAAACCAAGTCCAAAACAAAACCATCACCACCATCACAGGTAGCCATCTTAATATATTTTGCTTTTAATTAAACTGCTGGTTCAATTTAATTGTATTAACAGAAACTGTAACAAGCACCTAAAGGTGCGTTTAGGATAGATTCTTTAGCCATCTTCAAGGCAAACATGTTGTAATGACTACAAAATTAATTTTATGTGATGTGTTTCTGTCTAATCATAAGCCAGGTTACGTTCCGCTGTTAACGACTGCATGCCCTGCTAATTCTTGATTATTCAGAGGTATTTAACAGTGTTGTTATCTGTGTAACAGGAAGAAATAACCTTTTTTTTTATATGAACAAGATTCCCGAAGTTTTATTGGTGTTCTAGGGCCATTAGTTAACCACATGTTTCATATTAAAAAAATACCGAGGGTAATTAAGAATTTTGAGAAACTTTTAAACAAACCTGTTGCTGTACATGAAAAAATCTGCGCTTTTGAATTGTTGTTGCTTTTATAACTGTTCTATTTTGAACCATTTTATTTTCTTATCTAATGATAATTATTCATTTCAATCAAAATCAAATAAAAACCATCAGATGAGTTTCCTACTAGTTTTATTTTTTCGGTTGTATGATACTATAGTCATATTCAGCTTGTTACATATTTTCTATAGTAGTTTAGTAGTATCAAAGCAGAGTGTTAGCATTGGAATCTCGTAAACCGTAAAAGATTCCAAGCCGTTGTCGGTCAAATTAAGAAAAAAATGTGTTTTTTGTGCTGCATAAAAGGATGTTTTAAAATGTATCAAGTTCCTACTGCTTCTAGAATTATTCGAAAAAGCTTTATTTGCTCAAATAGTTTTAATTTTTGCTGAGCTTGTTTCTAGAGAAATTTAAAAATAATTGTCAGATTTGTTAGTATGATGTAGAAGGCAAAAAGTATTCTCCGAATGTGACAATTATTTTGAAATAATTCTTCAGATTAGCCCAGAAAAAAATTAAAATCATTTGAGCCATTTTTCTTTCCTGGAAATATTTCTGTAAATGGTCGGAATTTTCCAATTTTTCAAACACTATTATGCTATGCATCAAAATCCGCAAATTTGCCATAATTTATCAGACTTTGTATCCCCTAAGGTTTTCGAGATCCCACTGTCAACATCTTGAGGTTTTAACACCCTGTATATAGTAGATAGTACTAATATCTAACTATATCGGCGTCAACTTTTTCAAGTGTCTCGGATTGGCATGTTTGCGTCTACATCTTCAGTTGTAATTTACTTCTGGAGTTTGCAGAAGTGAAGGCAAATAGTGAAAAAGTAAAAGTTCGAGACCGCAGTATCTCACTGAGATATTCGAAATGCGATTCTAAAATCTAATTGTTTGGAAATGCGTTTCAATATCGCCAGGTTTTGCCTTTTTTTCCATCCTTGACAAGACGAATTTGTACTCATATTTATAATATGGGTGCCAACATTTTCGCCGCATGTTACTCGTTTCATTACTTTGATCAGTGCTTTGTCATTACCCTTTCAGTTTATTCTGTGTACAGAGACAGTTTATTCTAATCACATATCCACCAACAAGCACAACTATGTCTGCCGGCGGGATTCAAATCACCTTTGAAGAGTTATGCAATCATTTTGAACTTGGCAATTTATATGTAAAGCTTGGTTTACTGCAGTGAACCTTCAACCTATAAAGGAAGCAATTGCATTTGTCTATACATAACTAGCCTTAGATTGTCTCCTCGGCCACGCAACATGTCACCACCCCCCAGCCATAAGGACTCTGGAAATCCATCGGCTGACCAAAACTTACACATGTTTAGAGAGGCACTTACCAATAGTCGAAGAGGCTGCTCTACTCATAGTGAAACCGACCTGTGCTCTTTTATCGCTGGAGAAATGGCTCGTCATGGGACTAAAAGATCGTCATCTCCCAATGATGTACCGATGGGCAGCCCAACCCTTCCAAAACGATCTAGATATATGTGACTAGAAGGTAAAAATAATTTTTTATTTTGCCGCTTTTTGAAATGTTAGTTGTGCTACATCTCAATTCAGTTATTTTGTGTTTTTATTCCGTTATTATCCTCTAGAATTAAGAGTGATTTGGATAATCTATTGATGCGTTTGGAATCAATAGCTGAATAGTTGAATAAACAACCGGTTTATTCTTAAACAATCGGTACACAATTTTCGGATTCACGCTAACTCACTCACTAACTCGCTACGGAGCCGGGTATTTATAATCTATACAGGGTGATTGAAAATTGGCGTCATTCCTTTTATGGGGTAATAGAGGCTCACTTGGAGAGTACGAGAAAAATATGGACAATTTTTTTTCATAATTTCTAGAAGATATTAACTGTAGAAAATCGAATTTCAACTTTTTTCCAACATTTGAAGCTCCTTTCAGGACTTTGTGGGTATGCGATTAGTTCTGGGGAAATGCCACAGTAACATAGCAGAAGCTGTAAGAACTGACGCCAACAAAGGGTTAGAGATACTCCAGATTGGCTCCAGGAAGAACGAAAATAGATGTTCGGGTTCCAGGCACAGAAGAACAAGTATTGAATACAATTGCAGCAGAGCCTTCCAGGGGTACTCAGAGCATTGCACAACTACTGACACTTTCCCAGGCACCAAATAAATACCGCAGAAGAGTTACATTCCTACCACGTATGTAAGATAAATAGAGCACAAGGACACATTAAACCAATAGCTTACTGAACACCGGTATAAATTGAGCAGGAGCTAATTAACCTAATACGAGAAGCTGTTCGAGAAGAGTGCATAATAAGGTAATAGATTACATAGGTACTTGTTTGGAGTTAAAGACTCCAATGTATGTTTTTATAATTTCTAAACAAATTTATGAGTTTATCCTTGTCTATTTTTTCTGTACTCCTAAAACGCCGCTAGAGAAACGCCAATTTTGAATCACCCTGTATACCAAGGCTTCTAGTCGGGCGGAGAATGTTCTTGAACATTCAATAATATCAGTCTTGACCTGGAATGTTCTCGAAGATGACAATAATATCAGTCCTAGCCGGGAATGTTCTCGACATCATAACAATACAATATTAACCTAAAATATTCTGGAATGCTCGCTCGGTGGTAGAACTTCCGGACCCATATATGACGATAAGGGCCCTATTCTGTAACTATTCCGTTAAAAGTTTACGGACGTTATAAAGTTTACGGCCGCTTAATTTGCGATTGGTATTCTGTAACTCGATTGTCCGTTAAACACATAACCTAATTCCATTATAAATAATCGGTCAGTCGCTTATTTTTAAGGGTACCCTAAAGTGCCGTTTACACTAACTTAAGCCATCTGTGTACCTATTCTTGACGACTAGGGAGTAGAACAGCTGAGAGAAGTGGGTGGGATTTTATGACAGTCGGCCGAAACGGTATTCCTGAAAAAAAGTCGAGAAGAGAGGGAGCCGGTCCTCAGAGAGCGGGAATGATCGACTGGTACGACCCAGTAGAAAAGGCATCTTCCGGGTTTTCTAACCTCAAATCGTATTTATGTTTTGTTTCTGAGGAACGGGTGTATCGATCTATTTTAACGGGATGTTGGGATGAAAGTTGGAATTTAGTAATATTATATTAAATCACATGATGACTGAGGATGTGGATAATGCCATGGAATAATTTGGGGTTCCGAAACATCCCTGGGACAAGATATCCTTTGATCTAACAGACCATAAATTTGTAATGCTGTTTAGAAGTCCCAAAAATCTTTGTACATAGTTGGTGGAGATGGTGTTTCATTGTTCATTAAATATACATTCGTTATGGATCGTACACGAGAATAAGCCTTGTCATTTCGGACCTGCTGTGGACAAATTCTATGATTCCTTTTGCTGGAGCGATAGCGGCCTAGATTTTTCACAATTTGCAATGGATTTCGTTGAAACTATTCAATTTTGCTGAAAGTTACATTTACTTCAATCTCTTTAATCATACGGGACATAGACTCATTTTACGATTCATTATAAAGTGCTGAAGGAAATCGGCTACATAAATAAAATTACCCTTTTACTCACTTTTATTTGGTAAATAAATATCCGTAAGCAGTTAATACTGTATTCATTTTACTCGTGCATTAACTTACCTCAATAGAGCACAGAAGAAATGAAGCATGCTTAAAAAACAAAAACTTTAATTTTTAATAAGTACCTATAAACGGTTTGGATATAAATACGTACCAGCGGAGAACGAGGTAATAAACGACCGATTCTTAGCTTAGATAAAGACAAATACATGATTCTTAGGGACAATCTATTGTACCACCAAAAGTACCGGATAAGTGTTTTGCAGACGCCACATCTGGCGCTAGTACCAATACCGATGCAAAAAAATCACGTATTTTTTGCTAAAATTTTAGTCTGTATTTAGACACAGGTGCTCAAGTTTCAGTTACATTAAATTTATGTGAAACGCTCTCTCATATCATGTGCAAACCGATGTCGCATGTGCAACATCGATGTAACTCGTTTGATGTTCGATATTTTTACCATCGATGTTGGAAATTTGGGACATCGATAAAACATCGATGTTAGATCCTGAAATGAAAACATCGGACATTTGATGTTGATACTAGATAGAAGCATTTTTTGCGAACTCTTCGATAGTGCCTATACAAACGATACTACGGCGTAGCAACCCATTTCCAGCTACACCCGGACAAAGCCTCTTTTTGCAGTCAGTTGTCTTAAAAATGTGGCAACAATAAGTTGAATAAACCTAGTCGATTGTTTAACAATGCATTGTTTTAAATTTTATGGTAGTAGTAAAATGAAATTATTTAAGTTTAAGTTAATCAATTTGAAATTTGTATCCAACCGCCAACTATCAGATCATGTTGTCACACATCGATGTTCTGACCTCGATGCTTTCCTAACATCGATATTACCTTTCGATGTCAACATCGATGGCTACGATCGATGTCCCATCCCTAATTCCTACAAATCGTTTCCTTTTCTGTGTTCATTTTCTCCGAAACGATGAGGTGTTCGAGTCCTGTGAAAAACACATTTTTTGTGTAGTATTTTCTAATCTTTATTGTCGCATATTAGCGTGCCATCTAGCCGTAAAGTGGAGAAACATTTTTATGAGAAAGTTAAAGATTATTCAGGTAAAACTTTGTATCTATTTTCAATTTGATTAGCGATGAAATGTTGAGAATAGCTCAAAAAATATAGGCTGCAGAATAGTCAGTAAGCAAATGTTTTGATCTGAAATATTTATACAAGAAAAAATGATGGGCATGAACTTAATAAAGCTGATCACGACTGCAGATTGAAATGTTGCAAGAAATGATTCAGATATGAAAATCCAACCCCCAATTTAAATGAGAAATTGAAATAGGGAATTTCGTAAAGGCGCAATATTTTGATTAAATCGGTCGGTAAACGAAGTAAAGTGTTAATATTCTAGCCACAAACTTGCTGAATTGCTATAGTCAAGTGGACTCTTAACAATTAGAACATTTATTCGAGTGTTATAGTTTTCCTATAAATGTGTTCTTTTTAGAACCACTGATATATTGAAAGAATGCGATGTTTGAGCCACACCGTATAAAACTCGAAAAATAAAAAACACCATAAAATCAATTTGTTGTGTATTCTGATATTAACATTATATTCTGTATCAATATACTATCAAACAGTTTACCTGCGTTTTGCCTTAATATTGTTTCGAATTATGCATGTTAATTTGTTATAAACTATCGTCAATATTTTTATGCATACACAATAACAAAAATTAAATCGTCGCACTATATGTAATATTTTTGTTTCAGAGCCCAAACGAATAAACGCACTATATCTGTGTTAAGAAATTACAAATTCGTCAATATTAAGAAACCCAAACAAGTTCAATGCTGCAATAAAGGTTCACTTGTTTGGTTTTTAAATTAGTGACACATAATACTTAACTTGTAAAAATGTACAGAAGTCACCACGCGTCTGTAGTGTTGTAAGGGAGATAACTGAAATCTATTCAAGTAGCATTAAATCTTGTTTAAAAGTATTGCAAATTGTCATTGATTAAATAAAAAAACTATATTGCTTAATCTAGCAATCATTATTTTTTGTCTAGCAGTCATTATTGTTGAAACAATATTAAATTCGTAAAGTTTTTTTTTAATACGCATAAGGAATTTTCATTTAGTACTTGATGCGTAAGATCATTAGTTATCTCATGTGTTGTGCTCAACTACATTTCGAGGGAAACCGCTGTCATCGAAGTTGTTTAGTTGATCATAATTAGTTCAGTTTTGTCTAGCTTATCAATAAATATATAAAATATGTATGTTCAGCAGGTAGATAGTAGGCTTTACTTAATTTTTTCAACTGATTTTTATGATATTGTCTTATTTATTTGTATTGTGAATATACACCAAATATATTGCGTAAGAAATAGAATTATGTATGAATAGATACTTTTTTAAGAGTTGGAAAAATTAGGTACGAGTAGAAATCAATTATCTTGTCTGATATTGATATCTTGCGTGATACGTTTGAAGGATGATTGAAATGGTTGAAAATCGTTATTTCTCGTTGTAGATAGGACAACGTGAAATAATGAAATTAAATCGAAATGCCAGGTAAAGACTTGAATGAATATGCCAACTGAATTATTCTTAATCTATTGAAAAGCATTACTTTAGACACAAAATGCCCTACAGACGGTCTAAATCAATCTAGTCATGACGCATCCTGGAAATTGAAAATTACAATATTTTTGTTAAGTAGAAGACTATGGAATGAATATGCCATAATAGTACCACATGCAATACATCGGAAGCTACAAGAGCTGCATAATCTCAGTTTCTTTTATCCCAAATGCAAACATGTTATTTAATAATCGAAACATATTTTTCACTGAAAATATGTCAATTACTTGAATGATTTCTTTATAATTAGTCGCACATTAGGAAGGTCGAAAACATTGAAAACTATATGTTGCTACAAAAATTATTCTGAAACGTTTAATGTGGTTAATTGCATTTTTCCAGTCGAAAATTTGTTTAGATTGTTAAATCCTTAATCATTCTTATTTGTTATATCAATAAAGTTGCCAAAAGCGATATACACACATCACAATTTCCCAAATTATTATTTGAGGAGCAGGATATTTTCTGTAGCGTACAATTTTTAATATGGCGAAATTGACGTAGGGTATGTAAAATTCATATATCTTGGTTTTCTGAGCCTAGGAAAAATCGAAAGAAACTCGATTATTTCGGAAATGTTTCAAGGAAACCAGAATATGTCTGCTTTTATTCTGTATGTAGGGTGATCATGAAAAAAAAAATTTCATTTTGATTTGGTCGCCCTATCTGTCTGTATGCTTTAAGAACGCTTCTCAGTTCACAATGAAAAGTACTAATTGATAGTTAGAATGAAGAAATCAGAATGTTTTTTGCTTTATTTTTTAAATATGAATAAGCACAAATCATTTTGAATTGTTACTGTTAATTTATTTGTAAGTTGTGATTATTATAGTTTCTGTTTTTTTTGACCTAAAACTTTATCTGAAATTGTTTTCCTTTTTTCCGATCGTGCTATTAATGTTTATTATTTATTTTACCGGAGTAAATAATTTCATCAACACTCGTTTACTACACTTACTGGTTAACGTATTTTTAGTTTATTTTTGTACAATCAAATTGTAAATCTTTATTCATAATTAAAAGTTATTAATGAATATGTAGTGGTTTTGCGTCTGTTTGATTTCAAATGCAGCACCTGAAAATTTCAAAATGTGTTAATAATGCTTTGTTTGCCGTGGCCCTCCCAGTTCAAAGCATTGGATATAATAAATACTATTATTTTTTAACTTTTGTCACGTTATGGAAAATCGAAAATAACGAATATTTACAAACAAACGTGCGCAATACTTGAACATGTAATGTTGCAACTTTTGGGTTTCGTGACGGAAAATTAACAATAGCTTAACCGGAAAAGCATGTGAACTTGAAAATTACCTCCATGCACTGTATTAAAATTAAATTGATACATGCAGATTATTTGGTGCGGAATCAGGTAACAACCATTCATTTTTGCGATGCTACAATGGGTGCAAGTACAGCGTCAAAAGTGACATTTTCTTAGCATTTACATAAGTTTTTTAAAAAAATCAGCGCTGAATGATAACTGTAAGTATTTTTGGTGCATTTTTTCTGACTTTATATTTGTATTCCGAATTAGTGTACGTGATAATGCTTTATGTGAGTGAAGACTGCAAAAACAACATATTTTGCGAAACTTTTTGAATACATAAGCGTTATCAGTAATTTTTAATAAAGAATGATACATTTTTATTAAGTACGTTTATAGCAACTGAAATATGGTTTCGAATAAAGTTATGTTGATTGTCAGGTAAATGGTAAAACAGTTTTTAATATGTACGTTTTTGTAACATGAATTACTTATTTTCCATCCGATGTTCGGCTGAAGTTTCCAATTCCTGGTTTTTGAGTCAAAATTTACATGTGAACAAGTTGATTTCTTTTTACAGTCTCAATCGACAAAATCAGTTTATGACATTCAAGTTTAAATGTATTTTTTACAATCCATCCATATCTGCACTGCTACAATTTAAGTTCACACATGCAATTGAAATCTTTCTTTTTACAAGTACTAAAGAAAATTAGATATTTTACTTCAGAAATAATTGTTTTTAAATTTTAATGAAGCAAGTTTGCATTTTAAAGTATTTAAATGTATAGAAATGGTTTTTAATTATATAAATTTAAAAATACAAGCGGTGAGGGAAAAAATCGACCTTGTTTTTTGCATGTTAACTTGAATTGCATGTTAACATGAATCGCAAACGTTGAAAACAATCTTAAAATAACGCTTATTAATTCCTATTTTCTGCTTCTTATTTTCAAATAGTAATTAGACTAACAATTAATTATAGATTTTCGAAGAAACATAAATAATTAAAATTTTGTTTAGCTCAGAAAGCATTGCTATATTCAGCGTATTAAATAAATGTTGCCTGCTCTTAGATATTATGGTCGATTTGAAACCAGAAGAAAAATCACCATTATTGCTTTATCTAGTAGATGGGGATGAGAATGTCTCGAAAAACAACAAAAGAGTTAATTTTGATAAAGGACGCCTTTACGGGATCTCTTCTGGTGCTACGGCTGTTTTCACAGATTTTCCAAGTAAATATTGTTCTATTTACGTTACACTTAATAGCTGGTAATTATTAGATTTAGTTATTAAGTATGTAATGTGTTACGGAAGTATTTGTGTTGAGTTATTTGTTAAATCACTTTTTATAAGTGACCTTAACTGAGAATACAATGATAAAAGTTGCCACTGCCTGAATCAAGTGTAAAAAACAAAATTTGAAATTAATATGACTATTCCCATGAAACTTGTAAATGGCCGCCTAAAGCTGGCCATGTTGGGTAAGTGCTAGTAGAAGCGGAAATATCCCGATTTTCTGTATTCTAATGATTTTTTTACAAAACCACTTACTACTTTTTTCAGACTATGTTAGTCCATGTTGGGTAACCGCCCTTCTTTCAAGCTTGATATTCTTTATGATGGTTTTGCTAATGGTTTCTTCCATTGGTTCCTCGAGAAACCTTAGAGTACCTAGATGTACTCACAGGTACAAGCTTTTATTTAGCTTTTTAAAAATGTTCTTATGTTAAAATTAATGTTTTATTAGCAACCCTGAGGAGCTCAGCAATAAAACAATACATCTAGTGCATCAGTCAAGCGATTGGAGTCAAGAACAGGTGAATTTTCTGGAAAAAATTAAGTCTGAATATCAGGGATATGATGTGCACTTGGTTTTAGTGAGGCAGCCTAGTATAAAAGGGTAAGCTTTTATCTATGTAATCAGTCGTGAAAATGCTTTATTGGTTGTTAATATTTATGCAGGAAGGATTTGAAAAAACATTCGCACCACATTGAGAAGGTGAGAAATAGAAATCTGTCTGTGCCGGTGAATCGCACTTTCAATTCAATTGCTGGCATTCATTCGGTTCTTTTGGGAATGAAGCGTGCGAAGAGAAGCAAGAAGAATGCGAGAGCGTTAAGGCGGAAGAAGCGAGGTCATGAAGACAGTAGTTCGATGGGTTTAGGTTTGGGGGTCAAGTATTTGCTGGATATTCTGCTGCGAAGCAAAATAGAAAGTACCAACGTTATAATGAAGAAACGCTCAAATGGTGAGCGAAATGATTCTTAAATTTTTATTTTTAAATCAATCTGTTCAATGGGTTTGTTTAGTGTACGTCTTATTTGGGTATGAAAGAAATTGTGGAGGAAGGGTCAGGTCAAAGTTTATAATATTTCGAAAGATGTATTTTATTTTGTATTAGTTTTAATTAACTTTAGTTTGATAAGTTAGTAGTATTTAGTATTTAAGTTCCCACACTGGACTGCGAACAGGTAATGTCTTACCTCTGCAGATTTACAGAACTTGGTACAGGTAGGTATGTAATTTTCTGGTGATAAATAAATAGATAAATTTATACATGTTCATATAAAACAGCTTTAGCCATAAAAGGACATCTTACGACTCTTTATTATCCCTGAAAATATTATTTCTTTACCTTCAATAATTTCGGAGAATTAAATTAAAAACTTTCGATTTTCATTCAACTAAAAAAATATTAAAATTGTTTTTGTATACAGGGTGTCCACTAATTTACATACAAAGTACATTTCTAAATTGTTTCTCGCGAATATTTTAAAGCACTGAGTACACTATTTAATTGCTTGAAGAAAATGATTAGCACAAATAACTGCCGTCATTATGAGAGTACTAAAGTTCTGAATTAGTTTTGTTTTTTTTACTTAAATGAAGAAATGGTGCTTTTAAATCTGTTATTGAACCCAATTCTGCTTATTTTTACCTTTTAATTTTCATTCTAATTTTTATCATAATCATCATAATCATAATTTTGCCGGCTGTTAATATAAAAACGAACATTTTTCAAAATAACGACCAGTCCAATAATTTAGGTAATTAAAAACTATTGTAAGCCACTTTTTCTTATGTAGTACCAATCTGAATATGTATGGCAATTAATTCATCATTTGAAAATATATAGAGTTTTTCCAATAACGAAAGCTTTCAGTGTTAAATAAACTTTTAAGTAATATTTGTGTGAATAGTAAAAGCTTCTAGAAATATGACGAGACACCGAAATATTACCCCATATAATAATAGACATACAGCAGTAAAGACATATTTTGAGCCACTTTCTAGTAACTGTTCAATAATGTATTCTCGTTGGTTTCAGATTCAAAGCCGCTTCCTGATATGTTCAACCTGACGGATCTGTTTTCAATTATAACTCCAAAGCCCCGACCTAAAACTCTCGAAGACATTATAGACGATTTTCCCGGTCTTACAGTTAAAAATGCAACTGCAGAAGAAATTTTCTTCAAGTCTCCTCTGCAACATTCCTGGGCTAAATTTAATTCCGATTTATTGCTCTTTGCTGTTAGAGCGATGTATCTGTGGCAATACGGAGGCTTGAGCTTTAAAGTGGATGGCAATGGAGGCGATGGCGCTGAGTGGGAGAATGTGGAGAAATTCTCAGTCGCCCCAGGCAAGTAGCTTTTAACAAGTTGCTTCCAGTGGTTCTCTGTAAGAATTCCGCAAGTATCAACATTAATTTTTCGCAGTGGTTACTCTGCAAAATTTGGATCATACGTCTATCCAAATGGTTCCTCATGAAGTTTCTACGAGAAACGATAAACTTCACAAATTTATCCTTGCTGGTCGAACAACTTTTGAAAATATGCCTCAAGAAGTTGTAACCGCCGACGATGAAGGGTTACATATATTTACTAAATCTCCCTGCCACGCTTTCTTTGGAGAAGTGCTCGGCTATTTACGCAGAGCTAGAGGAGACGAGACTCCTAAAATGATTATCCGAAAATCCCTGAAGGTGTTCTGTAAATATGCCGCAGTTGGTAACAATTATTGCCGGAATTTAGTCCGAGGTACTGTGTGACTCAAATGTATTTACATGGTGTTTTTACATATATTTTTTGCTAAATCCTGAGGAAATTTTATTGACTTTGGTTTGAATTGAAACAGTCGAGTTTAAAAAACATGTAGATTTGCTCAAGAAAACTGTTAAAATTTACGCAATTAGGAGAGTTAATTATTTGGATCCCCCGATTAGCTAAAATCATCTAATGAAAGTGAAAAACTCATTTAGCGCCAACTATGATTTATGATAGTAATAATAGTCGCCAGATAGTATCATTTTTTTATTGGAGGTAGTAAATGAGATAACGGCCAAATAAAGCGCCATTGCTTTCAGCTTTTCCTATGAATTTGCAATAAAGTCTATTTTATGCAGGGCGATCTTAATGGTGGGTTGAGTAAAAATGTTTTTTATATTAACCAAATTGTTAATATATGAATCATTGGTGAGTAGGTGTTGCGGGTTGAAGGAACGATTATTCATTATTAATGCGAAATTGGCTGGTGGGTACGTTTTTTATGAAGGATTTTATTTAGGTTGGAGGTGTTTCAAATATAACGTACCAAATACGAAGAACGTATGAAATTGATTGTGAGCTGACAAAATATACTGATCATTTCCGACCGACATTTACGCATATTTCTAGTTTGGTAAAGGGTGGTTCAAAGTGTTACAAGCAGGCTTAAAACAAAGCTTTTGAAGGTGTAATTTCAGGTTAAAAATATTTTTCTCAAAACTATTGATTTAAATAAAACGGCCCCTTAAAATATCAAACACGAAAAGTGGCGTGAAATATATTAATTTTTGGATCGAACCGTGGTTTTACACGAAATTTGATAGCTTTTGTAGCTTCAAGAGCTTTCTCATCATCTAAATCACAAGCGAAGAGGACTTCAAGTAGAGGTTGAAAAACAATTGTTTCAGGGATTGAAAACTGATAAATTTGCTGGACTAAATTAGACCGTGTTTAATAAAATCTCTTTACAAAAATATCGCTTGTGCTAAAAAACCACTAGAGCGCAAAACTATATATACAGAGTGATTCACAATTGGCGTCATTCCTGTGCAGGTGTTGTCTGGGGGTGTTTTAGGAGTACAGAAAAAATAGTAAAAAAATTAGTTGTAATTAAAAACTGACAAATTTGCAAAAAAATATATCAGAAGGGTGGCAACAAGGTATTTCAAGCTAATCTGCCTAATTAACATTATGTAAAAACCTGTTGCTTCATAACTATTAAAAACTCCGGTAACCATGGAAAAATAGAGAAAGTGACAATGAAATAGATAGGGATAAACGGTAACTTCAACAGGATTCGTTTAATATAGGGATCTACTTTTTCTAAATGTCAAATTGTCAACGGGAAATTGCTCTTTGTTGTCATCATAACCTCGAATTGATGTGTATACAAATAAACATACAGTTCTGCCTTTAATTCCAAACAGGTTAGTGTCTGTGTAATCACCTTAGTCTGCACTCTTCTCGAGCAGCTTCTTGTATTCGGTTAATTAGCACCTGCTCAGTATATGCTCGGTGTTCAGTAATACATTGGTTTAATGTGTCCTTGTGTTCTGTGAATCTTACTGAAGCTTTCAACATTTTTATGAGGAGTTTCATAAAATTAGTCTTTAAGTCAACAGTATTAATAATTTTAAGGAAGTGAGAAACTTTGTGAGGAAAAATAAAATGTGGCCAATTTCTCCAGATTGCGTTGGGTTAAAAATTATTCAGGTTGTTAATGTGGGGAAAAATCCAAGTTTTTACTCAACAACAACCCTACAAAATAGTATATTTAGTAGTATATTATTATGAGACATTCTGAATCATAATTTTTTTGAATGATCGCGACCATTTCTTCGTTTAATTTTTATATTTCTTGATAATTTAGTATTTTCTTTGCTTTGATTGCACTCTGTACAAACGCTTGTTATCTATGCGAAAGTTATTCAACTAGCTTGTAAAATGTATTTAACATACACACCTCCAACCTAATAAATATTTATTAATTGAAATCATGGCTGAAGCACATGAATATTAGACGATCTCAATTTTAACTAAAAAAGTATTTACAGGATATACATACATATAAAGATAGAACAAAATTAATTTGACGATTAAGTAAATAAACAGGAAGAAAGTACAACATTATTTTATCGAAGTTTAGAGTAGGAACATATAGTATAATAAAGTGAATTTGTAAGAGATAGAGAAAGCTTGAGATTAAAGGGACTAACGATAATAAATACCTTTCATCATAGCACTTGCCTGACATTTTGAATAATTGCATACTAATTATTTAGCATGATCCTTATTCGCTACGGAATATTTGTTAATATTTGGACAACATAATAACAAAATAAAGTGCTAATTAGTGGATTGAGTAGCTCTCTATGTAATCACTAGTCCTTATCGTTTAATATATGTTGAACAAACATTCTGTTTATGGATAGAGGCAGGTACAAATTGCAATTATCCAACGTGTTAAATTATTGTCTTCTCATTAGTTCTCAAAAAGATAACTATTTATGTAAAATTACATTTTTTACTAGAACGGTTGTACTTGTGTTGTTTTATTCTCAAACAAGCTTTACAACTTTTTTTGCAATGGTTTGGAAACTTACACAATGAAACACAATTCATACTTTTATTAATATATTCTTTGTTTACGATTATGGAGAAAGAGCGACATAATTTCTGCACATGCATTTAATAAAATGTTTTCAAGTAGTTATGGCAACAAAATATCCTATTGCTCTATTTTTTTCTCAAGTTTAGGTAAATGAGTCAATACTAAATTAAAAGTTTATTCTGAACGATTGCACTACATCAAGGAAGAGACTTTGAAAAAAGTATATTTTTTACATCAACACTGTGGTAATTTATCTAATAAATGTATTTATTTGTGTTAATTTCTGTAACAATCTCTTAGGTTTCGGTTAAACATATCTATTTTTCTGTTACTTAATATTAGTAGTTTCACATAGGCTCGAGTTTCGCACTTTACCAAGAACACACAGATAAATATGCACAAATAGCAAAATCGTGTAATTTGATTTACTTCATTTGGTAAGCAATTCAAATATTTAACTATGTAAATCTACAACTATAAAGCTGAAAATGATAACCAAATGTGACTTGGTTTAAAATCCAAAACTCGGCTATGAAAAATCACAAAATAATCTTTAATTTTTATATATTCGCTTAAGCGACATTCAAGGAAATGGAAATTTACTTTTTGAAACAGGAAACAGGATTGAAGTAGCAGAGACGGTAGCGGCTTTGGCGCTTGATTTCGTTGCCACTTCTCAATGCCCGATCAAAAGTACCATACTCCTGTCCATTCAAGTTGTTATTCATTTGGCTGAAAAAATGTGCACATTTTGTTATATTAAATTCTATTTTCTTATTTTTCATATTTTTACATTAATATGTTATGAGTGAGTTACTTCAAAGTTTTCTCTCTGTGTACCATTAGTTATGGAACTGTTAAATTAAGAGATATATATGAAGTACGTACGCTTATTTGACTTCCTATCTTCTAGCTTCATTAGTTTATTTGTTCAATTCGAGTAAATTGACTAAGCGAAAACATATTTTTTGCGTTTCTATATAATTATATAATTAAATCAGCAGAAGTTTACCTGAGTTGATTTAGTTCGGCCATTCTTTGGGCAAACAGCTCCAACTGCCAAGGTCGAAGTCCGCTATCAAGAACGTTGTTTAGTGTGGATTCTTGATCAGCGTTCAATCCCTGTAAAAGTAACACACAATTTAGTAAACGATTTTTTACCGCCGCTTGAAATGTTTCATTTAATGATTTCTGATTGTATTAACTAACATTTCACTTCCTGCAGCAGTTATCGATTTATCACATAAAATGCAATCTAAAGCGGCAGCCAAAGTTTTTCTTATAGTGCTCAATAGTGACATGTTGGGTTTATATAATTTTTTAATAAAATCTTTGCCGTATTATTAACATACCTAAAAAGTTTCCAAATGTTGGGTAATTTTTCAACATTTAGGAGCAAAAGTTAACTGCCACCTCAAACTTAAAAAAAAAATACAGCTCACTAAACACTTTTTAAAAGAAATCTTACAAATATTTCCAACGATTCATGGTGTGTGAGAAGTTCAGCCGTTTTTAAGATCTGTGATCGGTAAAAGAATACAACCTAATTAGATGAAAACTGTTTTCGGAAAAAGTGGCTAATCAGAAATTTTTAACGGTTTTGGAGAAATAATCCTTAAAAGTTTGACGACAGTTTTGTAATTCACATATTCTCTTTTAATTTTTAAAAATTTAGATTTTCTGTACAATTCTGAATAGAGAACAGTAGGCAATACTTTTTAAACGCCCAATCAAGAGTAATTTGTCTAGTATTATCTCTCGAATATTAACGATTTTTTATGTATAAAAATAAATTTTCAAATCAAAATTTATGTTATTCACTGCATGAAAATTTGTATTTATTGTGAGAGCATAACACATTTCTTTGCTAAATTGGGTTCTAATTACGAAACTCATTCAGGTATTGAAATAGGATTGTTTTCATAATTAACCAATTTGTTATATAAAAATAATTATACAAAACAGGCTATTTGAAAATGAAAACATTAAATGTAATGAGTACGAAACGTTTTCAAAGTCACTTATTACTATTGTATTTGTAATTAATTAACTTTCTCTAGATAAAGCTGTTAATTTTTTAGAAATTTGCTTGGTTTCGCCATTTTTAAAAAATTGAATTGAAAAATCCAAATTTGCAACAAAAACTATCCCAAACAAATAATCAAGGTATTAAATATAGGAATATCCTGCTTATACTTTTTGTTCAAATTAGTGGTAAATGAAAAAAAAATATTAATTTTTATAGCCACTTTATCTCATTTTTAAATGTTTTATCACCTCATTTCGAATGTTTTTTTCAGGTTCTGGTAAATATGATTTTAATATATTTATTAGTCTTATTTTCGTTTAAATTGCGAGCAGACAAAATTTAAAAACTCAATAGAAATCAGTACATACTTTTTTACTACTAGGTACTACTCTACTTTTTGTGCTCAGTCGTTTTGCTGCTATGACTAAAGCCAAAATGCTCCAAATATATTCTAATAATTGCTCCCGCTTTATTTCTGATTGTATATAATAGTTAAAGTTTGATAATAAATAATGCTAGTCTGAATCAATTTAGAAAAAACTCTAATCGCATTTAGCCTTATTTATTAATATTTTTTAAAATGTTACTGGTCAGATTCAAATTTTGTTTCCTCTGTTTTTTTAGACATTGCCTTGTACTAAAGAAAAACGTATTAAATTTTTATATATTTCTGTCGTTCTTACCTGTGTGTTTTCTTGATAATGAGGAGGTTTAGCGTTGACGGCTACCAGCGACATTATCAAAATAGCAAAGAAAACCCGCGAGATGACTTGAGGAAATTCGTATTGCATGTTTAGGCTGAAAAAAAAATTAACTTAGATAGAAGTAATAACAGTTCCTAGTCCTAATGATAACTGCTTATAAATGGTGTCATAAAGTCGCAAAATTGCGCTATGAAAGAAATGTTTGCTCGGAGTAGATGAAAAAGGTTTTATTACGGTCGCTGTTAACGCTCTTGTGATAGGGACAAAATAATTACTTTGTTACAAACTTGGTAAATTTGCTAGTATGGAATCATCTTGCCTTAAAGCTATTGCATATAATAAAATGCAAAGTAGGTAATATAAATATTTTTGAGGGTTACACGATTACATAATTCAAACTATCAGTCCATCAATCAATAAAACTCGGATGGACAGTGTCCATTAAACGGACTTTATGCTTAACTTTACGGCCCTATAAAATACTACAAATAGTTAAAGTGGTCGTGATATACGAATAACATTTATTTAATACGGGAAAAGGGCAATATAATTTTTTAAATACTTAATATGACCATCCGAGTATGAAAATGGGTGCAGATATGCATGGAGAATATGCACTGCCAGGAAATTGTAAAGTCAGTATTTTTAAAGAAAGTATAGGATAATGAAGCTGTTTTCATAAGAAACATTGTTTTCGTTTTTCATTTCATTGCTTCCGGAGTTTGTGCAATTAGAAATTTAACAAGCTAATAATTAAATAGAAGTGTCGTATAGTAAAATAGAATTTCAGGAAATAAATTTCTAAATTAAAATCATCAAGATCACCGTGAAGATTCGAAGGATAATCCAGCAATATCCAATCATGTAAACCCTCCAGCGTATTTTATGAGTACAATTTGAAGAAAACTATGACAGGAACTATCGGAGTTGTAATTGATACTTAAGGAGAATGAACAAATTCACCTTAGCCTTAACAAACTAACATTACATTTTCATTTAAAGTACGTTATTAAACTGAAAACCTCGAACTTTTCAGGTCAAATTTCCGCAGAAAATGTCTGTGTCACAGCATTTCATATCATTTTTGTATAGATAAGACATTTTCATTAAATTGCGGTATGAAAGATTTATATTAAAGTTGTTAACTTTATTTCTAACATGACACATTCCCGACGGTTTTAGATAAAACCACGTGAAAAATGGACAATTTCTTCCCGGCTTTATATTATTTTCTAAGTGAAAAATAGCCCGTTTATTAAAATTTATCCGCAGTTACCCAGATAGACTGGAACGAATGATAACAAGCGATACACGTTTACAAAAAAAACCAATTTATCATTATGATTACGTTAGATTGACGGGGAATAAAATATGTCTGTAAATAATTATCTACAGAATAATTCGACTTGAAACTTTTTGCATCTTAATTAGGTAAGTTCTATATGGTTTAGGCGAATTCATGTTTTGTTGAGTCTAAGTAAAAATATAATCAAATTATTTTATGAACGTTGAACCACATATCTGTTCTGTAATTTTCATCAATCTAATTTACTTCGATTGCATTTTTAAACTACAGTTTTTTATTTAAATCTATTTCATGCTACTGATGCGTTACTCTTACTTTGGAGGGCACACAATTATTTTATCATTGTCTTCATTACACAACTTTCTAGCTAAAGTACTATAATTAAACTTCATCTTGTACAACTGAGAGCACTTCTCAGTTTCACCGCTTTTGCCCTAATGTAATAAATATTGATAAAGGAGACAATGGACTTTCAACCTGTGAATAAAGTCTAGTGTTTCTTAAAACAAATTAAAGTTAAATTTATTATTTTTTACAACGAGCCTGATAATACTGGGGGAATTATTCGAAAACTAAATGTGATTGTGCGTCCGTTCTGTTTATTGGTTGATCGATCTTCATTCGCGCTTGTACAGGATTGTAAATTGTCCTTGTTTCCTTATTTAATTTTCAATTAGCAGACCGAGTGACCCAAAATCAGCCGTTGACCACATCATTCATTAGCACCCGTAAACAAAATCAAATTACAATCTGACCCTTTCTAATTATTTCAAATTAGGAACGTGAATTTGAAACCTTTTCATGGAATTTGCTGCTCATTCATTTGTAGAGTCCCTTGCCCATGAACTTCTGTCCGTAATTATGCCTAGGATGTAATGTAAGTAATTAGCACAGATTACTACATGATGCTAAATGCATACAATTATTCCCTCTAATTTCATGCTAAGTATATCATATTCGCTTTTTTCTAGCTATTTATTGGTGACTTTTTCTTTTGTAATTGTTTTTTAACTGTTCGTAACTGGAGTTAGCTGATTATTTTTTAAATACAGTTGTTTCCAGAGTTTGGGATACTGAAAGAAAAATGCGGGATTTGCAAATTTACAAAAAATCAGCAAATAATTGAATGTCGATTAAACGAAATTGTAAATGTGCTGAAACCTGCGGTTCATTGCTGTGAAACTTTCCGGTCGCTATTTTGGTCCCTTTTGAAGTTTAGAATTTTTTTCTGGAGGTTTGCCATTCACAAAAATTGCGTTATTCAGCCAAAAAGTTACGGGTTTCTGAGAAATTTACAAATCGTTAAATTTCAATGAAACTTTCTCAGTTTGTTCTAAATTACTCCAGTGGCCACTTAAGTGATTTTTGGGGCTGTTGTTTTTTCTGGAATTTTCAAAGTTAATAATTTAAATAAGCCTAGAGTTTCGCAGGCTTTTGACACTTGAAAATAGTTCGATTTCAATCAAGCTCTCTAATTCCCCGAGAAAACTTTATAGTTCTTTTTAGGCGAGCGTTTGGATATTAGGATAATTTTTTCCAGAATCTTTCTATATTCAAATTCAAGCTTATTTTCTTATTTTATAGTTAAATCTTTTAAAGGAAGCCTAGAAAGGTCAGATCGATTATTGCGGGTTCCACGCGGGAAAAAATGTGGACACAATTTGAGTGTGTTTTAAGGACTTGAATATAATTTTTAGACATTTTGTTACATTTAACAAAATTTTGTGAGTTTCATCTAGTCTTTGTTTGTGTTCAATTAGTTGAAAAGTTCAAAGTCTGTATGACTTGAGTGGATTTTTAAGTATTTTTTAAACAGTTTGGCGATTCTTCGATTCCGTCTTCTGGAAAGGTAATCAGTAGTTGATTTTCAATTATACTTTGTCAGTCTAATTTTTAGTAGTTCAGCTTATTGTAGAATAACTTTCAAGCTACTGTTTAAGTGCGTTTTGAAGCAAAAAAATTTCTATTAGTTTTTGCAACATGCAATGGTTTTATTATTTAGCCTAAAACGACCAAGTTTTAAAAAAAATGGCAATGGGTGGATTCCAATGAAACTCTCTCAGTTTGTTTTGAAGTATTCCGGCTAAATTAACGAAAAATTTCAAGTTGTCACTTTAATGCTCTTTTGGAGTTTGGAACCGTAATTTTTTTGGAGTTTTGAGATATTTAAATATGAATTAAAATTCTGTCAGTTGCGCCTGTATTATTTTCGGTTTAATGAGGAAGAATTTGGTCGGTATTTGAGTGTGTGTTAGAGTTTTTTTCCTTTGTTTTTGAGATTTTTAGATTCGATTTGGTCCTGCATTAGAAGACGAGAAGAATGTGAGCAGTTTTGCCTTCAGTATTTGCGTTTTTGAGACTCCCGCTCTGTGAGCGCGTTTTAAAATTTTTCTCATGAATAACTAAATAATTTATCAACTGTAAACTGATAATCATGGACATTTGCCCTCTCTCGGTTGGATCTATGATTTGGAAATCCTCACTTTTATGGTCCTGCTGAATTTCAAGTGAAAAACTTATTAAAGTGCCGAATATTTCAACTTTTCACTATATACACATACCGCATAAATCCATTATATGACCTATAAAGTGTGATTTTTTTCAGTAAGAGTGACATCGCGGCTATTTTGTATATTTCGAAACAATAAGCGAATGTGGGGTCGCCTTGAGTGAATGTTTTTTTGCCCCGAAACGAGTAATTATTTAAAATATTGGCCCCATAATGAGATTTTTGTTTTTTTGAAGACTTTCAACATAAGTACAGATTTCAGATCAATTTTAGGAATATTGGACATTTTACAGTTTCTTATATCTATCCGAAAATTGCTGGATGTAGCATATTTAATTGCTTGGTCGACTTTGCTGAAAAATAACTGAAAGGTTAAGCTTTTTATTTAAAATATATTTTCAACCATTAATTATACCGCTTAGTTTCATTTGACTGTGTATAACAAATATTTGGTTTACGCTAGTGCGCTGCATCAATCATTAAGTATGGTGCAAATATGCAATTTATTAAAATAGAGGTTTTATGCAGTTAATCTGCAATATAAATATCAAATATCTGGCTAGCAAAAACTAGTCGACGTGTGCAATTATTGAGGTTTTTTCCAAATAGTAACTATATTGAGCCATTTTCTTTATATGTAGTATGTAGTTATTTGCCTATAAGAATGGAAATCAGATATTCATAAATTAAATTCGAATACTTATGAATTAATATTTTGCACCTATAAATGCAATATTAGTTTTGCATGAGTTTTCGTTGACTTGATCGGAAATGATGGCAAAATTTTTCAATTAGATCATTTTAAAACCAAAGAAGATATACATATTTATGAAATAATTTGGATGATTTTAAAATTTTCCAAAATTGTGAAAAAGTAATGAACGTTATAGGCAAAATATATATTTTGATTATAAAACCCATTCAGTGCTTATTGAAAGTAAGGCTCTATAAATGTTTCAAAACCGAGCAATTTTATGCGAAAGGGCTGGAATTTTGGCTTCAGATGAAGGTTTGAGAAGCCACAATTCATATTCAAAAGTAGGTGTTCTCTTTGAATTCTCAGTCCAATTTGATAATTTTCAATTAAACCAGATTTTTTCCAAATCGCACACATTTAGCTCGAATGTTTTAGCATGTCATGTTCTGGATAAACCGGTTTTGATTGATAGCTTGATGTTAGAAATAATATAAAATAAATACTTAGATTCACACATATCTACAATCAACAAGATTTAAGATCGCAATATAAATGTTGAAATGTGATGCTCAGCTATTTTAT